AATGTTCATGAAACAATATATACACTGGTTCAGCAAGAACGAACAAGAATTGCTATCGCAGGAGAAAAATAACACAATAATCAATAGATATTTCATATCAACCAATAATAATCTATACCTGAAGATGCCGGGAGGGTATTTGGCCCAAACATCTTGTTTATAACATTTACTACTGTAATCAAGATGAGACCAATAGTTCAAATAAAAGTATAATTTACAAAGTTCTGTACGTAATAATAAAAGTGTCTTCTACTTTTTATGAGTTGCATAACAATTATAACAATTATGACCTGGCATCTTCAAACTTCTAGTTTTATTCGAGTGTGTATTTTTTACGGATCTTTTTACTTTTCTTGTATTCTATTTCATGTATCTATTTCATGTATACTCACGTTCTCATTTTTGTTAGCAAATACCTTTGACACTTATGTGTTCTTCTTGTTTTTATATCTTTCTTTCCCATGTCTTCCTATCTAATTTCACAAAAGCAAAATAAACTGAAAAGAATTCGAATTCAATGAACAGGAAAATGCATAACAGCCATTATTAACCCCTTCAGCTTCTCAACACTGATGACTCATAAACACGCAAATCTCTCGATCCGATGTGATCCTTAAAGGAACATATCATAAGAATATTGGTAGGGCATAAATAATAACAATCCAAACGTTATTTATCTTTTAGTTTGGTAGCTATTTTTTGCAATGAAATCGATTTTTTTTTATTTTCTAAAATACAAATTGATGCTGTAGATGAAAACACTTTTTGGACAATGCCAATTTTCTTTTATTAAATGATGCACAGGCGTTATTCAGAAAATGTAGAATGTCCTAATCGACTCAGGTTTCGCGTGATCCCCAAGTTTTCACATATTATGCGAGAAAAAAATAAACGGCCATTGAAAAAGTAAAGAAAACGCACGGATTTCTTAAAACGCTGAAGGACATACAGGGTTTTTTTTTATTTTTTTTATTTTTTATCCAAATCACATTTTTTATCCAAATCACATTTTTTATCCAAATCACATTTTTTATCCAAATCACATTTTTTATCCAAATCACATTTTTTATCCAAATCACATTTTTTATCCAAATCACATTATGGTTAGTCACTTTGAACAAATAAGTTTACGTGTTCGTGTTAAATAGTATGTTTTTTTTAATTGCTGCTTTGAAAAGTACAGGTTTCAGGTCCAAATTTTTCAAAAAATTCCCATTTGAATCCTGCAATTGTAATTAAAACAAACAAAGAAACAATTAAGTAAATAAATAAAAAGGCTTACCTGTAAAATTCTCATGTAAAATCATTAAAATAGAACAAATTTATTTTCAATTATATAAAACATATAAAATAAAGGTTTTTAACTGATTTAAAAAATTCGGACATTTTTTTCTTTCTATTTTTGATTATGGTATCAAAGTTGAACATTACTCAGACGATAGTTAAAAAAAACTTAGCATTCTCTTCTTCCATTACTCACATTTCACAAAAGAATTTTTACAACTTTAACTAACAGAAAACTTTTGTCTAGGCTTACAAGTTAAAATCCAGTTCAGTACTTCACAATGAAACTTTACACCTCTTTACCAATTAATCATTTTATTTACCATCACATCTCAGTCTGTATATCCATGATGTTAGATATCACAGAAATGGTCAATGGGTTAAATTCTTGATCATCGCAATTTTTCAATGTTACTTTATATCAATAAGTTAAAATTTTTTGTTTATCATTAATCATCACACACATTAGCATCAACCTTGTCGGGCAAAATCTTACATTTCTGGGGCTACTTGGCAGCTACGAAAATGGATGTTACTTTTACTCTAAGTACATTTATTTCATAACATCTTGATGTTTCATGGATTTTTATTAACCTTTAGCACTCTGCATTATTAATATTACTTCCCTTTCTACTGCATTATTTTTCAAGGCCTCTCAATTGCTGTTTAGTTAATTTCACTGTAAGTTGTTTTCTGCTGCCATAGCAGGATATGATAACGCAACAAATTAAAAAAATTAAAAATACTATTCAGGGACTAGAGTCCACTTTAGTGGCAGGATGAACTTTTTGTACAGCAAATGAAGTAACATACAGAGTGATAAAGGTTAACAACAGGTTTCGATAGTTCATATGTCAAAAATTGAATGCATCTTAGAGAAAATTAAAAAAAAAAAACTTTTTTCAGTTTTCCGAGAGTTGCTTTTATATTTCCGCATTCAATCCTAGCGAACTTGAGCACTTTTAATTCGATTTATGGTTGAAAGCAGATTCAGGTTATTTGAAATCATCATACTAAATAATTTGTAAGGTATGTTTTCTACCAGGGATTCATTACATGACACTTGTTTGTTATCCACGTTGTCAACGGATTCAGTCACGTGAGTCATATTTAAGAGTTAAGTAATTAATTACTTAATACAATAATGATAAATTTACTAAAGCAAAGAAGGCGTCAGTTCAAATGCTGGGTGTTTCTGTGGAAGACAAATGCTCGGTGGTGGTGGGGGGGTATATAATAATAGATTAAACTGAACTGAAATCTTCTAGGCCTAAATAAATTTTCCATTTCAATTTTATATTTACTGTTCTATTTAATGCAATAAGAATCAGCTTTAAACTACAAAACATCGATATTTGTTGCTCCAAAATGCATAAGTAAGGAATGAATGCACAAGAAGCATCTTGCAGGGATAAACACTTTATTCATTATACTATAGCGAAACCCTCTTTAAAAACTTAAATATATTTAACTGCAAAATATATTTCAATAAAATTGAATGTATGTTGATAATAATTAAGAACATTTGTTTCTTGTAACTGTAAATTTTAAATTATTCAACATTTTAAATTCTCATTTTTATTGTTAATGATTGTTATTTTTTTGTTTTAGCGGCATATCAATCTTTATGAGTTATATTTAATGCCGAAATTTTTGTACGCAATTTTATTTTATTTTTGAAGATAATAATTATTTTAGTGATACAAGTCTTACTAATTAACACATAACTGAGGAGAAAGTGTAGATTCATGCCTTTCCAAAAGTTATTTGCGCGTAAGTGAATATAACGAACCCGACTGGAATTGAAACTCTGCTCTCCAATTAACAATTCCGGGCCATTATCAATTACACCATCCGCAAATCCATTTACTGCACCTGGTATCTCCCAAGCGGTTACCTATCTAGGTACTGACAAAGCTAGGCGTTGCTTAACTACGGTGTTCGTACGAGAGCCGCTCTTTCAACGTAATGTGGCCGTGACCCTATTGTTAGCGAGAAAAGTATGCATATACGTATATAGAAAAATGTGATCTAATTTGGACGAGAATCTAACGGAATGGTAAATATATAAGACAATTTGGATAATTGTTTTTTGGACTAATCAAAGCATTTGGCATTACACCAAGAATCTTGGATGCAACCATTAACTTTACGAAAACACCAGAACAAAAGTGATCACACCTGATGGAGAAACTGTGTATTTTGAAATCAAAGCAGGTGTGTTGCAAGCTGACACCGTGGTAGCATTCCTCTTTGTCGTCATCTCAGATTATGTAACGTACAAAATATATGATGGGGGAGAAGAAGACAAAGAAGTAGAAAATACCCAGTAAACACTGTCACTGATTTGGACTTTGCCGATAACCTGGGATTACTAATGGAAGAGATGGAACATTCACGGAAGGTATTGGGCAGATTAGACTAGTTGATTTGTACTGTAATGCAAATAAAACTGAGTTTAGTCTTCAACCATGAAGCTGCAATGGAGTGAAAGTAACAAGTGAGTAAATATTAAAGACAGTAGATAATTTTAAATGCTTAGGTTCATGGGCACAGTTCTGAAAAAGATTTGGTTGCAAGAAAGCTCTTGTCTGGACTATATCAAAAACTGAAAAAGTATGGAGCTCCCAATTAACAAGCAGATTGACAATTTAATTGCCTGCTGTAACACTGGAAAATTACTTTTTTACAGACGTTGATTATGATCAAATCTCTAAAGAATTAGCTAGATTAGTGTTACACAAAAATGCTACTGATTGCATTTAAGGTGCCATGGAGAAGTTACATATCAAATGCCAAACTATATGGTGTGTTACCAAAGGCAACATCAAAGGTTCAGCAAAAAAGGATGCGCCACTCTATCGAGCATGTTGACAAAGTTGCGAGTAAATTAGTACTCTGGCAGCCAAGCGAAAGAAGAAGAAGAACAAGAAGAAGAACAAGAAGAAGAAGAAGACGACGACGACGACGACTCACATTTGTAGCCACAGTGATAGAGATAAAGACGATACAAAAGCTAAAAGCCATCATCTAGTAGAGCAGGTAATTTTCAGGAGAATCTTTCATTTCCGGAAACAAGCACCAAAATTGGCACACATACTCCTTGGTGATTGCTCTTTTATAAAACCCATTAGCCACCTAAAAATTTAAGATGGCGGCCATTTTTCAAGACGGGCGCCATTGAATATACAGGAATATTGCATTTCGCAATAAAATCGCATAATACCTAACCTTTTTGAACGATCTTGGCGTCAAATCATACATTTTTCTATAAGTAAAATTCGAATTTGGAACAATGGACTTACTCACTGGCTTCCTTATACCAACAAAGTGGATGTTAATGTACAATCAGGGTATAGCTGCTGTGTACCTAAATAATTACTCTAGTGTCCCAAATATTGTCTTATAGGCCCCACATCTACTGTAGATTCTATGCAGTATAACATAGATGCTTAGTTTGACAGCTGAAATAACATTGGAACTCTACTCCAGGACAGTGGTTGGACAGGAAAGGCAGGGATTCGTTTCTGATAGCATCGAGCATCACTAGGATACGACAGATGCACCAGATAATAGCATGCAGTCTGCACAAGCTTCTGAAGGCAGCCCACACGGACTACTCGAAGGAGACAGATAAACAACCCGAAGATGTGCCTAGTTTCGAAGCTTGGTGTAAGCATCGCAAACTGCAAAGTCCCTAGTTTCATTTCTGGTATATGGTGCCTTCAATGGAACTGGTGATCCTCTTGTTGATCCGATCATTCGGGGAAGCCAACTTCTTCCTGTACTGTCAATTACTGGCTGAGCTGATATCGTACTTCTTTGCCAACAACAATGTAAGCTATGCACAGTGGATTCCGATCCACTACAGAGACATGTTGCCCCTGGAACAGAAGCATCCTCAGCTGGCTCAGGAGTTCCAAAGTGGAAACTTTGTTGTACACGAATCGAGTCGACAACTCCCAGCAGTGGCTATGGGCCAAGCACACGAGCAGGTCCACGCTGTCATCAAGTCAAACGAGGGTGCGATCGGCGTGACTGAAGACCAATCAGCACTGAGAAGATGGATGATAGCTGCTCCTGAAGTCACTTGGTTGCATAGTATGAGGCAGCATGAGGGTACTGAACACACCACCAGCCACCATGAGGAGACAGGACGAGCGCAAAGAGTGTTCCTTGAGAAAGTAGAAAAGATGCAAGATATGGGCATGTTCGGGGCCTGTTTTCGCTTGATGTAAAGGATATTGCTCACCAAACTGCTGCCGAGCTGATTGGCACACACCTTGAGAAAAGTAAGGTCCGTTTTCAGGAGTTTATGAAGGCACTTGAAGGGGAAGAAGAAGCCACCTTCTATGAACAAATCAAGCAACCGCACTATCAATCTGGCTGGGGTGGCACCATGCAGTTATGAAAAAGCTTACACGCAGATCTTTCTGCGTGCTAGGCATGTAACAGAAGCAGGCAACAAAGTCCTCATGGTCAAAGCCAGCAACACAGATGTTGTTGTCATTTCAATCAGTGTTCTACATGCACTTCAGCAACTAAGCCTACAGCAGTTGTGGGTTGCCTTTGGCCAAGGACAGAACCTGAGGTGTACATGGCGTGTTGCACTCTTTCAGAAAAGAGCAAAGTGAAGCTCTTCTTCGAGGCCTTCACTGGCTGCGATGTCGTTTCAGCATTTCCTGGTAAAGGGAAGAAGTCTTCTTGGCAAGCCTGGGATGTTTGTGATGAGGCTTCCAATGTCAGTATATACCGGTAGTGGACGATGAAGACTGGGAAACCTTGGAGACGTTCATGGTCATGATATACAACAGATCCAGCACAGCTGAAGGTGTCGATGATTCAAGGTTCGACTCGGAAGTAGATGCCATACGAAACCATTCCTCCAACCCGAGCAGCGCTGAAGCAACACGTGAAGCGTGCTGCTTACGTCAACTAGAAACGCAGGCTCCTGCCAACTGGGGTTGGACCAAGAAAGGAGATCTGTGGCTTATAGTTTGGACAGAGCTCCCATCTATTGCAGAGAGTTGCTAGCAGCTGAACAAGTGTGGATGCAAGTCAAAATGCTGCAAATGTTACTACTTTGGTCTGACTTGCACGGCACTGTGCAGTTGCAGATGCGAGGTTTAGAAATATAGTAGTATACTTGTTATGGGACCTTACCTTACCCATAATAACATAATGGACTATTCCATACGTAATAAATACTGCGCCTCAAGAGGAACCAGGGAGTTCAGTCTGAAGTCTGGAGTGAGGTCCGTCACGAGTCCGTCAGGAGTCTGTCAGTCAGTCAGTCAGTCAGTCAGAGCGAGTCAGTCAGTCGAGTCAGAGGCAGTCCGAAACAGAGTCGCGTTCAGACAATTACTACAAGACATTGGAATAGTGATACTGGTCGAGATTACCTTGTTCTCCCTACTAAACCTGATTGTTCGTACTAACACTTTCTATTTCTCTGTATATATTCCTGTTTGTAATATATCTGTGTTATTCCATATCCGTATTCAAGTTCTTCTTTATTGGTTCTACATTGGACCATCACCGTGGTACAAGGAACCGGACCATAACAATGGCGACGAGGAAACCAACTCTCTACGCGGAGGACATACCTTCTTTATCCGTCGCGCATAACAGTGGCGACGAGCGATTCGAACTCATTCGGTGGAAGGAAAAAAAAATTTGTTCGCTACAGTATAACAGTGGCGACGAAGACTCGAACTCCCCCGTGAAGAACAAACAACAAAATCATCTCTCGTCAAAATAACAAGTGGCGATCTGGAAAACCCTTAAAGAAAATTAAACTCCCTACTCGGACATTTTCTTTTCTTTGGCTAACCGTCAGTGGACGACGATTAAATTAAAAAAAATTCTTTTCTTGATATCAAATTTCACTGACAACAAAGGAAAGTTTTTTTTTTTGCAAACTCAGGCTACAGAATATCAGGTTACACAAAAAAATACGTTAACTTGGAAGATTTTAAGTCAACCATTATGGAACTTATCAAAGTCCAGTTTGAACAACAACAAAGGTACGAACAAAAACATCTGGAAATGTTTGAACAACAACAAAGGTACGAACAGTAGATACATAGTTCCAAATTCGGATTTTACATAGTGAAAACATATGATCTGACACCAAGATCATTCAAATAGGACTAGTCTTTGCGATTTTATTGCGAAATGCAATATTTCTGTATATTCAGTGGCGTCCATCTTGGAAAATAACCGCCATCTTAAATTTTTAGGCGACTAACAGGTAAACTACCACGTAGTATGTGTACCAATTTTGGTGCTTGTTTCCGGAAAATGAAAGATTGTTACACTTATCTACTCCACTAATTGTAGACCGTGCTGAATAAAAGAAGTGGATGATATGAATCGTCCCGACGGACGACCTAGTCTTGTTAGTTTCTCTGATCAAATAGCGTCATCGAAAATATGGATTTTATTTCAACCAAATCTAGATTGGCGAGATAGAACGGCATTCACATTAGTTATATGAAAGTTGGATTTAAAAAGAAATGCCAAACTATCATTCTCCAATACCAATTTATTCATTCTCTAACTCCAAATACGTAAAAGAATAGAAATTTAAACGAGAATCACCAGCGATCTGAATCGATCGAAGAATACGGAACTCGTCCCAATGGTTAGCATAGTATTTATAAAACAACTGAGCTAAGTATTTGAGCGAACGTCTGTCGATCAGTTCTACGCTGCCATCGCCGTCAGTCATTATCGTCTTTTTTGTAAGAAAGATTAATGAGAAGTAATACGAGCCTCACAAAAGAATTTATGCCGATATCTAACGATGACATCAAATGATTGACGTTCGACTTTCTCTTAAAGTCAATCATTTACTAATAGAAAGGGAAAAAACAGAGAAAAAGAAATTCTAATAGCGTTTTATTGCATTTTCAAAGTCGAAACGAAAACGGGACACTAATACGATAGTTTCCTTCTCATCTATCAAAGGACTGAATTTCCATTGTGAACCGATTTTAGCTTTTATAAGGAAAATATTCTTAAAGAAGCAACTGTTACATTTTCAGGTTATCTGCAGAGAATAAAGACTCCTCGATTTTCGATCAGAAGAAAATCTTGATAGACGCAGGTGATCAGTGTTCTCTATTGTTTCCTTCCTTTTATCATATGTGAATCGATTTCTTCTTGGAATAAATAGTGGAGTGGTTTCCTGTTACCTTCAATAGAATTCGAGATTTTGTTTCTTTTAGACTAGTTGTCATGCAAGTCTAGAGAGTCCAATTTACCCTGCTGATTAATTCATAACTGAGCGAAGAGATGAATGCAAACCCTTCTCATTTGTGCAAAAGTGGAGGCAACATATGAAATCAGATTTTGAATTCAAATCGCCGATTCCATTTTCCGCGTTGATGATCGCTACACTACTTGCATATTTCTTTCTGGAGATTTAGATAATAATAAATACTTTGGTGCCGAGGATTTTATCATACTAGGAATACACAATAATGTAGCATGATTTCAAAATTAAGAGTTCTCGGGTAATTTGTCACGAGTTTCAATAGGTTCAACATTGTCAATGACGTCTCCGTAGACTAAGTAATATTTTGTCATTCTGGTCATATTATTGTTGAATGTAAAACTTCTAAATTGACTATATTCTCCCAGTTTATAATTTCGATTATTTCTCTCATTCATTTTTCAAGAGGACAAATTAACTCAAAATCCGAGGTCAAACATCCAACAGTTTAACAGTTAATTTTTCTCAACATTTTGAGCTTAATCTAAGATTAGAGATATTCTCGTTTTTGTTGTATGTATGATCGCCGTCAGGATTTGTAAGTCAGAATCACCTCTGGTATTTCTTTTTTTAAATAAGGAAAACATTCAATGGTTTCTTCGTGCTTGCATTCATTAAAATTCATAGAATTTAAAAAGGAAACATTTTTATCTTGCATAGAAGCACATATTGTTTTGACGCCTACACAGTGTCCTCTTAACTCAAATCCGTCTTATTTAACCCAGCTCTTTATAAGTACCTACTGATCATTATTTGTTTTCTCATTGTTTAACCTTGGAATGAAATATTCTATCACTCCTCGTATTAAAAAGAAACGGAGAACTAGAATTAAAGCTGTGGAGACTGAAAATATCAATGCCTCAAGCAAAAACAAAATACCAATGCCTCAAGCAAAAACAAAACTGGATAGTAAAATTTGTTACTGTAGAGATTTGAGAAATTTTTTTTTTTTTTTTTTTTTGCTGATTTAATATATTCTCCTTTTCACTGTATAAGGGAAAACAAACATGTAACAAAGAAGGCAAGATACTAGTAATTTCTTCCTACGCTGTTGATATGCTTTTGTATTTCTGCATTCAGTCCAAACGAACGAGTATTTTTCACTTGATTTATGGTTGAAAGCAAATTCAGGTTATTTGAAGTCACCATACTAAATACATGCAGGTACATTTTTTCCTCATTGATTCATTTCATAAGATTTGTCAGCGTTGTCAACCGTTTCAGTCATATTAGTCATATCAGTCTTTCATATTAAAGAATTGAGTAAATAATTAGTAAAATAATGACAAATGAAATGTGAAAATGAACGGAAACATTACTTTCACCTGCCTTCAAAATAACTATTAATGGAAAGTTATATTCAAAAAACGATCATTCGTAAGAGGTACTGCAATTATGTGGAATAACATGCTGAAATTTTCTTACAAATGTTGAGATTGTAGTAGCAAACAAAATTTTTAAACCATTCGGTTTCAAGTTTCTATATTGGTCATATAATCAAAAACATATTTTTGTATTTACTTTGGTTTAAAAATGCCCACTACGTTTATTACATTTTTAAAACATGGACGAATAGAAAAACGTTTAAAATATCTACAATAGGAAAGAGAAATGACGTTCAGGTTCTACAGTATAACTTTGAAGATGATTTCTTCTAAAAGTAATAGAAATATTATCAATACGAAAGGAATTTTTTGAGCGAAGGTATTGTAGCAGTTTTGACAAAATTCTTCTCTCTAACAAGAGTCAGAAACAAAGTTTATATCCATGAATTCACGTGGTCATTTATTCGACAATCATTTGAGACAGAATACCAAACATCTTGGCTAATTTTTCCTTATTCTAGAAAAGAACTATAATTCCGAATTTTCCATATATTTTTACTGCTATTGTTTTAATATTTGTTGTTTTTAATAAATATCGGTCTTCCTCATGTACAAGATCTATTCAGCCTTTTAAACTAAAAAAAATTAGACAACTGGATAGAAATTTTTTTTAAAGTTACATTATAGAAGTTCATAAGCCATATGGCGTTTTGAAAGAAACCACATATTTTTCAAACAAAATTAAACATAGTATGTAAATAAAAGACACTTTAAGAAGTAAAAACATTAGACATACAAAATAACTAATTCACCTTACAAACAATTACATTATAAATAAATAAAAAATAAAAATAATTTTTTGAATATTTGTGTGGATTATAAAAATTTAAAGGCTATTACCAAACCTTATTACCTTATTACTTATTATATGAGTATAAACCTATCTAGAGCAAACATTATTACCAGTCATTTATAAGTATAAACCTATCAATCACCTTAATTCAAAATAAACTACTAAGGATAATATTAAAATGTTTATATGAATGTAATATAACATAAGAGAAGTGATTATTAAGTTATAAAGTTTTAAAGTATAGCAAGATTGCAAAGTTAAATCAGTAATGTGCCTACAATTAACAATTATGCTACAATGTAACTTTTAAAAAACTTTTCTATCTAGTTGTCATTATTTCCGTTTAAATTTTGAATCCTTCTCTATTACATCACTAACGTTAACGTTTATTCATTGGCTAAATTATCAACTTCTCCTGTTTTGCCTTCTTCTTTCCTTTCTTTTTTTCTTTTTTTTCTTTGCAATTGTAATTTTTTATATATTACTTCTCTTCTTCTTTCCTTTTCTTTTTCTTTGGAGGAGGGAAGATTTCTTATGTTTTTCTTTTTTACCTCTTTCTATTTCTATTTCTCTTTCT